ATCAAATTGTAATCCCAGTTTTCTATAAGTAGACCCATCACATGTTAGGCATCAAGAAGGATCTTATGCAGATTCATTTCTCACAGCACCAGCAGAAGTTTAAAGACAACTTATTGCAAGTTTGGAGATCTGTCTTGAAAGAAACTGCAAACTTATCTGGCTATTATCACTCCTCAGATTTTCAGTAAGTTGTTTCCTCTTTCTGTTTATTAGATGAATCTTGTCATCTTTATTGATAATTATATATATGCACGTATTATTGTACATGATTTTTTAAAAAAACAATTTCTTTCTTTTAACATGCCAGAAATGAATATGATCTTATTGAGGGAATAATCAAAGATGTATTGAAAAAGGTAGAAACATAAAGACACAATGGAGCCAAAACTCCTCATTGGAATTGAGGAAAATTTGCCTACTATTGAATCATTTATGAAAGATGACTCACAAGAAGTTAGACTTCTTGGAATTTGGGGTAAGGAGGGATAGGTTAAAACGACCTTAGCTCGTGCTGCATTTGATAAATTTCCCACCAATTTGATAGTTCTTACTTTGCAGCAAATGTGAGAGAGGAATCGAAAAAGATTGGATTGACTTGTTTACTTGAAAAAATTCTCATTGTTCTACTAAACGAAGAAAATCACAATGGTTGGAATGCCTGATATTCAAAGGAGGCTACATCGAACAAGAGTTCTTCTAGTGCTTGATGACGTAGATACTCCCAGCCAATTACAATATCTTATTGAAGAAAATCTTTCATTGGAACCAAGTAGCAAAGTTATCATAACAAGTAGAGACAAACATGTTCTTGTTAGTGGAGGAGTTCATGAAGTACATCAAGTGAAAGAATTAAACAATGAAGAGTCGCTTCAACTTTTCTGTCGGCAAGCTTTCAAGCAAGGCCATCCTAAACAAGGATATGAAAAGTTATCAGTACAGGTAATTGAATATGCAAAAGGTCTTCCCCTGGCATTAAAAGTTTTGGGTTCATATTTGAACTCAAGAAATACAAAAGCATGGGAGAGTGCCCTTAAAAAATTGAGAAAGTATCCAAATAGGGAAATTCAGACTGTATTGAGGGTGAGTTATGATGGACTTGATATACCAGAAAAGGAACTATTTTTAAATATTGCATTCTTCTTCAGGGGAGAAAAGAAAGAAGATATTATGAGGGTGCTAGATGCTTGTAATGATGACCTCTACGTGGACATTGGAATAGATAGGCTTCTAGATAAAGCACTCATAACTATTTCAAGTGGTAGTAGAGTAGAAATTCATGATATGCTACAAGAAATGGCTGAAGAAATAGTTCGTGAGGAATCTAGAGAGCACATCCTGAAAGTCGAAGTCGATTAAATGATGCAAAAGAAATTCAAGATATACTGGAAAATAACAAGGTAAAAGAAGGATGCTTTAACTTCCTTTTTCATTCCTTAAATTCTTTTGTTGAAGAATTTTGATACGCTTGTTTAATATTATTTGGATTTTTTTATGTTAGGGAACTGATGCAATTAAAGGCATTACACTGATCCAAAATGAGTTAGAAAGCGACATATGCCTGAGTACTGATCCTTTCAAAAAAATGAGTAATTTAAGATTTCTCAAAATTTCTTATAATATGCCAAGTTTTTGGGTGCCAATTCTTTTTTGTGGAAGCAAATCAACGCAACTTCCTTTTGGTCTGGAGTCACTTCCTAATAAACTGAGGTTTTTTTGTTGGGACCATTATCCTCTGAAGACCCTACCGTTGGATTTTTGTACTAAAAAACTCGTTGAAATCCAAATGGAGGGTAGCAAAATTGTAAAACTATGGGATGGTGTGCAGGTGTGGCTAAATCTTAATGCATGCTTTATTCTTTAGTCTAATTGGATTATGAGGGCTTCTTTTCAGTAAATTTTCTCTTTTAATTGTCACAGGATCTTATGAATTTGAAGAAAATAAATCTGGGCTCTTCCCAGTTAAAGGAGTTGCCTGATTTCTCCATGGCACAAAATCTTGAAATAATGGATCTTCGATATTGTGGATGTTTATGTAGTATTCATCCATCAATCTTGTCTCTTCCTAAACTTGTTTCTCTGAATCTAGAGGAGTGCCACAAACTAACAAATCTTCACGGGGATAACCATTTGAAATCTCTCAAGAAACTCAAGCTGACAGGCTGCTATGCTCTCGAGAAATTTTTGTTATCATCAGAAGAAATGAGAAGCTTACGTTTGAATGCTACCAGGATAAAAACATTGAACTTGCCTGTTGGACGATTCAATAAACTTGAAGAGCTATATCTCGGTGGGCATCTCAAGAGCTTTCAAGTAAATGAGCTAAGTTGCTTAACATCTCTTAAAATATTCTCTCTTGATTGTCTTAGAGGAAGAATAGACAAATCAAAATTAGTCATTCTGTTTGATGCCTGGTGTTCATTAGAAGAATTGAGGTTGAGATACTGTGAGGTTTCTGAGATCCCTGACAATATCAGTGCCATGTCATTGTTGAAGATTCTATCACTACAAGGAAGCAGCGTTAAGAGTTTGCCAGATAGCATCAAGCATCTTTCAGAGCTCAAAGTAATTGATTTGGGTGAATGCAAGAGACTTAGGTCCTTACCAGAACTTCCACCTTCCCTTACTTATTGTTATCTCAACAGATGCCAATTATTGGAGACCTTCGTTTTCCCACTAATGCGAGCAATACATAACTCTAGCGAGGTTAGATTTTGTTATCCCGGACGCACAATCCCAAGGGGCTTCAAATATTCTCAGACCGCTGAGAGGTCCATTAGTATTGAGCTTGCACCAGCTTCTTCTGACCATTTATTGGGTTTCGCTACTTGTTGTATTCTTTCCACATCGCCAATCAACTCTTTGACACGAGTTGAGAGAAAATTTGACTTTGAAGATGAAAAGATCCATTACAGGGGTGACGACAAAATTAGTTACCTCGAGTATGGGAGTACAGATCATGTTTTGTTATGGTATGATCCAGTGGATCGCATGTTGAAGGAAAACCAAAGAAGGCGATTTGATGAGCGCGCCGCTTACAAGTTTGCATGTGAATTCTTCTTCGTACATTACTTAGGTTGTCATGTGGATGAAATTAATAACAGGATAAAAGGGTGTGGAATTTGGCCAATATATGCATCAGAATTACAGGGGAAAATGGAATTAAGGCTGGAGACGAATGCTATTACAGGCAGTACCAGCCAGCACCCTAATGCTAAAGCGGGCCAACATCAGCCAGCACATGATTCCGTTAGGAGAAGCACTCGTGTGCACCAGAGGACAGGGAACTTGACCTCGATGCCGTACTTTCTGAGAACCAAGAGAGGCCGAAATGAGCGCACGGCCCCAAAGGATAACAAAAGAATTGCTTGACAATGCAGGTCCAACAATTTTTTTAATTCTTTATATGAAAAGATTCTTTATTCTCAATGTGACTGGCCTTTGGGTCTCATGCCCAGCATCCATTAAAATAATAAATAAACATTAGAAAAATCTCCAAATTAAGCTACGACATATCTATGCAACTATCTATAATTTCTATGCAAAGGCACGCGCAACCAAAAATTGTAGAGATAATGGATTCATTGATTTTTAATTCCTTTAGTATGCCTTAGTCCCTTGCTCTCCAAGTTCTGGTTTCTTACCAAGAAGTTGATGCTATGGCTCGACTGTTAGTAAATATTATGTATACATGTAGATATTAACAATGTATAACAGTAAGTATTTTGGTTTTCTTCATAGCTGGTCAATTTCCAAGGCCATGATTTTTTGCTCTGTCTTACTAATGTTAACGATATCATATCAGTCGGAATTGCATTCGTGCACATCTTGGAATTAGAGACAAACCTTGTACAGAATAAAACTTAGAATGAAAAGAAACATAGATGCCATATATATTATGTATTTCACCAAGGTGACTTTGCATATCATATAATAATGGTTTTGTGGGCCCATACAATTATGAACAGAGCATGTGAAGCCTGTTTTTCATCACCGACAGGTCTAGGAGGATCCAGGCGGGCGACGTGAATGTAACCATCATCGCCTTCATTTTACCAGTTGGTCATCAAGTGAAAAGCTTTGAATCATTTGAGTTTTTAATTAAGGTGTTGTTTCTTGTCTTTTTCCTGGTGATTTGGTTCTGGTTTCTCTGCAATATCACAGGTGGAAATATGACAGTGTGGGAATGACAAGAATGATATGTGATTGTCAGCCATTTGGATAGATAATCCCAAACTTGGTGGTTATGTTTGTCTTTCTTTGGCTTTCATGCTTTCGTTTGCCGATTTCAGAAAGTCAACTGATTTTTTATACTCAAATTTTTGGCCAAATCAGATGTTATATTTGTTCAGAATTAGTCTTCCTTTTTGTTCCTTTCTCACGGCAAAAATAGGTGAGAAAATCATCAAATCTGTTTGTTGTATCTCATAGCAGCGTGATGAATTCCTTGTTATATGATGATTGAATAAAGAGAATATCAACAGAACCAACCACCACCACTCATTTTCCCTAGTAACATTGATTTTGTCCCATTTCAAATCCAAAAGCCAGAGATAAAAAAAGTGATGTATTTATATATAGAGATCAAGGAAAGCCTATGAAGCAAGTACCGCATCGCTATTGTACTTCCAAAAAATTGTTTTCTTATGTTTATTGATTGTTAATTTCACCTATTTCTTTGTTTATTGGCTTCATTTAAGTGAACATTATTTTTAAATAAATTTATTGGATATTCATTAGTTGTCAGTTCCTCAAGTCTTTTTGAGTTTTGACTTTGGAGTCTTTGAGAAAGCCAAAATGAAAACATGACACTGTGCAATAAAAAAAAAACGTATTATTCTTCTTGTTTTCTTACCCCTCGTCACTACAAGCGAAACTAAACTGAGTACTTTGCTGCAATTCATGGCAAAATAATTGAGAAATTAAATTAATTGCACGATAATTTTTGAAGGATTCATGGACACATTACGGGGGAAAAAAAACTTGAAAAGAGAATATCAAATTTTGACAAAGTAACATTGAATATTAAAATTATCATCAAGTTAATCATAAACCAAGTTCATTTTACATTTGTCACTGTGAATGTGAAATATAACTAATAAACGATTCAGTATTAAAACCTTTTGGGTGGCTCGTAAATGCGTGAAACAGGGAAAGTGATTTCATTTAAAATTGTCGGGTATAATTATATCATGGGAAGCCAATTATTGGCCGAAACGATTATGGAAAATTGCTATGGGCCCAACCTCTGATGGCCCTATATCCACAGAACCAACTATTAAGGATTTGACCTAAGTCCAGCCAAGGCGGAGCAGAGCATGCAGGCCTGATAAAACAGGCCAACCCGCGGGTTGCGGGTTGGCCCGTGACGGGTTACAGGTTATTTGGGTCGGGATCAAAAGGCCCGTTTTCTGACAGGTTGGTATCTTGCCAACCCTAACCCACCAACCCGCCAGATTTTTTAAAATTTTTTTTTTCTTATAAATAATCAAAAATTAAAAAAATCAGAAATAATTTAAAGTATTCTAAACATTCACACAAAATTACAACACATTAAAACACAAAATATACAATTGTCCAAAGTTCAAACTCCAAACATGATAAAACACAAGTTCAAACATAAATTTTTCCTACTTTTCTAGCCCACTTCCTAATATTTTAATATATATAAAAAAAATTTAAAAAAATTTAGGCAGGTTGGCGGGTCGCGGGCTGACCCGTCGCGAGCTCGGGTTGTGGGGGTGCAGGCTCATATATTTTAAGTGGTGGCAGGTTGACCAAACGCCAACCCTAACCCGCCTGTTTTGGCGGGTTGAGGGGTTTAACCCGCGGGTCCAACCCATATTACGGGCTCTGGCACGGGGTGACAAAGAGCAGAGGAAATTAATATTATCAACTTCTAAAAAATTAAAGACACTTCCTTAATTATTCTCCCGAAATGAGTGCTCTTCTTCTTCCTTAGTGGTGTTTGGGTAAGAACAAAATCATATTTTTAAAAGTGCTTTTACGGTATACGAGGGGGTGTTTGGATAGAAACTAAACTATGATTTTAAAAGTACTTTTACAGTATACAAAGTAAATATATAGAGGAGTTTGTCTCGTTTTGCGGAAAGGTGCTTCTAAACACCCCTGAAATAAATATGTGAAGGAGTTTGTCTTGATTTGCGAAAAAGTACTTTTGAAAAGTGTTTCTGGAGTTATCCAAACACCCACTCATCTTTATATAAGGTAGGTTCTGTTTCTTGTCAACATACATAAAAGAATGGGCCCCCATCCCTATAGCAAATGTATTGATACATTTGATCATTAATATAAAATCTAGTTGATTAATTTGAAAAAATTTAAAAAATCAATTAAATTTGTTATTTGTAATAATTAGATGTTTTCTTTTCTAAAATACCCTTATTAATAATGTGTGTTTGAATTACAGATTGATAGTAAGTACTTAACATATATAACCACTATAAAAGTTACTTGAGGACAAAAGAAATGAATATTACAAACAAAACAGATTGTGATCTTATATTTAGAATTAAATTGAAAATCTAACTAAGTCTTATATTAAGGACTGGAAATAGTATGTATGTGTCTATAGGTATATAAGGATCAGTTATATATAAAATGAAGAAAATTACGCAACTTCGATTAACACAATTTTTAGGCTAAAATATTTTTAAAAACTCCGGCATTTTGAGTTGATAATTATCAGATGGAAACCGCGAAGTCGGATTAATGAGGATGAGGTGGCATCCGTATGGGCTAATAATTTTATGATAATTATTTATATATTTTTATAGAAGGGGTTAAAATGCCATTTGTCATTAAAAATAACAAACCCTCATCTCTTTTATCTCCTTGCTGCGGGCTAACTCAACTTTCAATTCTTAAAAAGAACCTCTCGTTCGGCAAATATTAACATTTTGACTTCCAAAGTGTTTGTGTTTTCTTTAGTTGCTTGTCCTGGTTTCCACATCATATCAATATTCATGTCCCCACTGAATTATCTATTGATTTGTCTAGTGTTTTTTATTCCCTCTTCACTCTCTATTTTATGGAAAAAGGCTGTGTTTTCTTCGCTAGGATGGTGGCGTTGTGGTCGACGGCCTGCTGCAAGGAGCTGCAAAGAACTGAGGGGGGTTTTTTTTTTTAAATGACAAAATGACAATTTAACCCTTCTTTAAAAATATATATATAATTATCATAAAATTATTAACTCATGCTGATGGATGTTAGGACATCCTTATTAATCTGACCTAGTTTCGTTCTATAAATTTTATTATATACATTGATATTATTGAATATTGATTTCTTTTTAAATGATTTCTTTAAAGGGAAGTCACTGATACAGACTATATTGCGGCTATACTTCCAAATATGAATAGTATCTTTACACAGCTGCATTTAAGTTGCGCTGCCAAACATTATGCACAATCCTCCTGTTCACATTATTATATGCGATGTCTGCAATTTCCTTCAATGTAAAAAAATTAGTGTATATGTAACAGCCAGATACATCGAACTCCCAGCGATTTCCATCCGTTCAGTCCTGTTATTTTAAAGATGCAAACCAAATTAAAGCAACCAAAGGAACCAATATATATATATATATATATATATATATATATATAGGTCACGTGGTCCTGTCTCCTCTAAATCTATGCAAACATCTATAACCATGCTTTCTTAATTTCATTAGTCTCTTTAAGTCCGGGCTTAGCTTAAATTTGAGGACTTTGAGACTCGTAATCCTATTACTTCACTTAATAATTAGCGAGAAACCCCTTTAAAACAAAAAAAAAAGAGGAAATGTTGCCTTATAATGATGTAACTTCTAGTACTAAAACAATATTCTCACTCTATAAACTATATATAGTAAAGGTGTTCATGGGACGGGATGAGATAAAAAAGACCCGGTCTTGGTCCCATCCTGATAATTAGAATGGCACGGCTTTTCTGTTTCATGTCTCATCCCGTCCCGTCCCAATCAAGATAGGACATAACTAAGACTAGACAACAACATTCCTTTTCTTTGAATTTTTTTATGTTTTTAATTTAGAAACTAGTTATACATGAAGTATAAAAAATTATGATAAAATCTATATGAAGAAAATAAATTAAAATGAGGATAAATTTAAAATGTTCACTACAAAGAATATCATCTATATGCAACTATCTCTATTTTCTGTCCATGGGCATTGCACATAAAAGATTTTAGAGGTAACGGTTTCATTGGCTTTAATTCCATTAACATGCCTTTGTCCCCTGCGCTCCAAATTCTGTTTTCTTACGAAGAAGTTGATGCTATGTCTAGACTGGTAGTAAATATTGTACTAACATTGTAAGTATTTTGGTTTTCATCATAGCTGGTCAAT